GGGGATGCGTTCAATGCAACAGACGGCTCGGGGACTCCATGGAGGCGACGGCGGCGAAGGCACCGGCGGCCAGTACACAGCGTGCAGCCCCTAGGCCAGGTGTTGCAGCAGCCACCGCCTTGAATTGACCCGATACCCGCGGCAATGTTAGGATGCAAAACCAGGTGTGCGGGTGTGATGCGTGTCTGTGCAGGTGTGAAGGCATGTAAGTTTGTGTGTGATCATGTATGTGTGCACACGCGCGCGCCTGTGCGTGTGTGTGTGTGTGTGTGTGTGTGCGCGCGCGCGTGCATGTGTTTCTCAGGGGATTATTGTAGCATCAGCGGCGTCGGCACTGCCTTTCTTTTTATTGCGGCAGTAGAAGCAGCAGCAGCTTGTTTTGTATGCATACAGACCTAAATGGCACAGGTATGGCACCGAGCGCCTTGCATCTAGTACCACCAGGAGTGCTGCTGTTGATTGCACCTCTTGCAGAGAGGCCCTGCAACTGCGCACTCCTTCATGTGCCCCTAGCCAGCTGGCAGTTCTATACTTTCTGACTCTCATGCTTCAATCAGGGGCATGAGCACTTGCAAACAGATGTGTTGCACCGTGCGATGCAACCTGTGGCTGTAGATTGTCACATCACCTGTTACTTGCGTCCACATATACATCAGGGTGCAGGGAACAGAGAGGAGAAAAGGGAAGGTCTAGCTGCTGCTGCATTCAGCAGCAGCAGCAGGGAGACCAGCCAACAGGAGGCTTGGCCCTGCAACTACAGAAAAGTGAGGGTCAAATCAGGTGGCGGCGCACCAGCAGCCGCTTCTGTCGTGTGCAGCATGTCAGACGGAGACACCAGCCTGCTGAGCAAGTTTGACAGGGGTCAAAGGCCGCAAAGTGCTCGTTTTATTGCTGCGAGTTGACAGCATGGATGCCGACCGCTTGACCGCGGGGACACAGAGTGGGTGCAAATGCAGGCGTCAAGAATGGGCGTTGATGGGCGGTGGCTCAAACAGCCGAGGGCCGCAGCCTAGATGGCAGCTGGTCCGCCCCTGCGGCAACAACGTCGGAGCTTTCCTCCGCCGGGATGCAGTCCTTGGGATTGGCGCTGAAACCCATGTTGTACTCCTCTGCGCGTCGCTCCTTCAGAAACGCGGCGCTGCGGCGGTCAAACCCTGCGGTCACGTGGTGCCCGGTCAAGATCACCAGCAGCAGGCACGACGCCAGCCACATCGCCGCCGCGCCGGCGAAGCCGATGGCGGCCTGCTTGGCGCCGGCCGCGGACAGCGCGCGCACGTCGTCGATCACGCCGCCGCCGCAGACGCACGACTCGCGCATGCGCAGCAGCGGCGCGAAAGACCCGGCGTTGACGCACACCGGCGCGCACACCGGCGTGAATGGCAGTCCCGTGGCGCCAGACATCAGCGACGCGAGGGACGCGTCGCCGAGCGACGCGATCACGCGCGCTGTGAGGTCGCTGGCCGAGCTGAGGGTGAGCCCAGTCGGCTGCAGGATGACATCAGAAGCGCTGACGCCCGCGTCGATGGAGCGCGCCGCCGCCTCGAAGCCGCCCCACAGCAGCAGCGCGGCGGCGAGGAGGCCGACGCAGGCGACGAGCAGCAACCAAACGAGGAGGTTGAGGGCGGCGGCGACGACCTGGTATGCGCGAAACAGCCACGGCTCAGGGGGAGCGTCTGGGGGAGGGGGCGAGCGGCCAGTAGGCAGAAAGGCATTCAGCGGAGGGCTTGTCATCGAGGGGAGCAGCGGAGCAGCGAGCAGTACGTTGCCAAAAACCTGGGGCCAAACCGTCAAAAGCAACGTGAATGGGCCGTGCGATCTGCACGGCTGCCAAGGTCCTGACCACAGCCAGCCGTCGATTTAACAGGGTTCCCGGGAGGATGCAGCTGTTGGCTTGATCGCCGGGCGCGCTCACCAGCGCCGCCGCCGCACGCGCCGAGCAACAGTCCTCGCTCGACGGTGCGGACGAGGGACAGCAGCAGCGCAAGGCCGACGATGCTGGAGCCGCCGATGGTCATGGCAATCATGACCGTCGTCATCGTGTTGTGGATCCAGCTGCGGTTGACGTACATACGCATGTGCGGCGTGGAGTGAGCAACAAGGGACATGTTGTGCATGCAACAGGCAGTAATAATGGTCTACCAATATACGGACGCATACAACGTTGTTTCTCACGCAGGCCAAGGGGGTATACCCCGCGGCGTGTGCGGGCAGTGTGACATGTAGTGAGGCCGGCGTGGCGGCACAGCACACTCGCCTGGTAGCCGAGTCCTCGACGCCAAGGGCCTGGGCCATACGGACTGTCAAGTCTCGCGTCTGGATGGTCCCGACGAGCCAGAACACGATGCCCGTGGCAAAAATGCCGACTGTCAGGAATACCACCCACGGCACCAGCCGCAGGCACCTTGACAAGCGCTTGCTGCGGCAAGCGCGGCGATGGGGCACAGAGGAGGTGTCTTTTGTGTGTCTTCGGCACAACATCAACGCTATGGTGATGCGCCCTGGCGGGTGATTGCGCGCAAGGTGAGACGGCAGGGTGGAGCTGCACTTGCAGCCGGCGCCGCCCGAGGCAAGTCCCAGGGAGCCGTGGCCGAGCCGGCTGGCGGGCTCCTGCGGCGTCGTACAACCATCACCTGGATGGTACTTCAGGACAGCCGTCGGGCTCATAGCCCGCCCCTGTGCTGGTGCGGTCCATCAGCGACAAGGACTGATTGATCGTCGTCGAGGTGGGCAAGCGTGACGGGCGTATGGCCTTGCTTTATGCTCATATGCATTGAATTTTCGCAATCATGACGTTTCGTGATGATGCAACCCATATAGCCTGCAAGTCTGGGAAATCGCGGCCAAGCAAACCCGCTGCGACCGGCAGCCACGCGGAGCTGCAGGCACCAGGTGTGAACCACAGGTATCACGTATTGCACTATGAAAAAATCGGTATTAGGTTAACCTCAGGCAGGGAAACACCAACCTGGGCTTGTCTGATGTGCAGGCCTCTGCTTGAACTGTTGCATGGTCATCCTCACCGACCAGCCGACAAGGCTTGGGACATACCATTGTCTTAGACGCTTAAATGCTGCATCGCTGCCTCAAAAGCCCCAAAGCACTGCGTGGCAATCCCTGAAGGGTAGCAACATTGCAGTTGCTGGGTGAGCTGGCCGCTGGCACAACGAAAGCTCTGAACGAGGAACGATCTGATCGTGCAAACGGGGCACTCCTACAGTGCGCACTCTCACAGGGCGCAGGGATAGGTCTGAACCCATCACTTGGGCTCACCTTTGACCCGCCGCTTCAGTACTTCATAGGGCTGCGCCACTTCAAAAGCGCTCGCCCCCAAACACGACAGCAGCAGCGCGTCCGACGCCTGCTGGGCAAGAGATCGATGGGCCAAGAGTACGGTGCAAAAAGTCGTGTGCGGCGGAGCTCACGGCGACAGCACAAGTACAGCTTGGCCTGCAACTGAAGCAAATGTAGGTGCAGGCGTGCCTGCCAATCGCGGGCGCAAGGACACATGGCCGACCACCCCAACGCCAGCGGCGCCGCGCCGTGCCTTGATTCCTCGGGCAACATCCTCCTCCTCCTCGTTGCTGATCACGACCCACAGGAGCTGAGATTCAGCGCCCCTGCAGGGTACGTGCAGAGCGTACGGTGGATGACCACTGACATTACTATCACTATGGCATGCGTCTGCCCTCGGCTCGCTGCAGGCGAAAGCAGCCGCTCTGGAGGGGTTGGCCCACGCACCTACGGAAGGTGATGGCGCAGTGCTCAAGCACCACATGCTCAACACCCAGGCCTCCGTCGTTCGCATACGCGTGGATTGAAGGCATCAGAGAGGCGACCGGGAAGGACAGCGCGTCGACGCCGCCCCAGGAGCGCGAAAGCAGCATGTTGCCGCCGCGGTCGAAGCACAAGACGTGGCGCGGAGCTGGGCAGCCCCGAGAGGCCATGACCGCGGGTGGTAGTCCTGTATGCGTTGGCAGAGATGCGTAACGTCGGATTGCTGGTGGTGCACCTTCGAAAATGCGACGGCAAGGGCGGGCAGCTGAGACTTGGTTTGACGAGATCACAACGTGGTGCAAGTGTTCTAGCAGCTGTGTACAGTGTCATATACGCCCTGATTCAGTTCCTCCGGATCCAAGCAATCCAACGGATACGATATTAATCCATCTGCTGGACCTGCACGGTAGAGATCTCATTTGAAACGAATTCTTCCTTGAAGGATGGCCGCCACGGTGCCGTGCGCGCGCGTATTGGGATCATTAGATACTTTGTATCGTAGCATGCAGCGGGCTGAGGTGGGTGGCTGAGCAGCGGCCTGTTGACCGCGAGCAAGTGTGATGCGCAACGCTGCTTGCTGCTGCCCTCCCTGCTGTTGCTGATGGGGGCGCTGAATTAGCAGTCGTGGTGATCACAACAACATGACAGGTCCTGACATATGCTGTTGTATTCAGCGATGGCTGCGCCGCCAACCCCAAACCGGCCCCTCATCGCCACCTCGTGCCCCCCGCGCGAGCGCGCGCCATGTCGCCCCCGCCTGCAGAACAAGGTGGGCGGCGGCGAGGGCGTGGAGGGCTGCTACGGCACGCTGACGCGCGCCGGAGTGCAGCAGATCATGGAGTCCATGGCGGACGTGTGCGGCCTCAGCAGCAGCAGCGTGCTCGTCGACATCGGCGCCGGCATCGGAAGGTGCGTAGGGGCGCGCGCACGCGCGCGCGCGCGCGCCCGGTGGTCCCCTGCACGGCGCGAATGGGCCGCCAATTTTGGCGGCAACCCAGCCCTAGCTCCCGGCCGACCACACCCGCGACCAGCAAGCACCGCGCGTGCGGCCGCCGCGTCAGCCCTTGGCAGCGTTCAGATGGGCCCCCCGTCGGTCCCCGGCCCCGCCCCTCAGGCCGCTGCTCCACGCGATGCACCACCCCGGCGTGGGGGCGTCCTGGGGCGTCGAAATCGACCCTGTCAAGTGCAGCAAGGGGCGCGCCTATGTGCAGCTAGTCGTCAGGGACATGGCCGGCGCGGGCCTACCGGCCGGCGGCGGCGGCGCGGCGGCGGCGGCGCCGTCCATGGTCTGCGTGGCGGTCGAGCGGGTGGGCGGCGGAGGGGCGGGGGGCCGGTGGCGGCAGGGAGGAGGGGCGCGGCGGCAGGGCAGGAGGGGGGTTGCAGCGGCAGGGCGGGGTTGGGGGTGACGAGGGCAGGAGCGTTGGGCTGGGGTGGCCAGCGGCTGCGGTACTGTAAGTGTCAGCTTGTATGCGTACAGCTGTTTGAGGGTTCGTCAGTCTCACGCGCCCCACCGACCTGAAACCCCGCAACCCATGCAGCTGTCCACGCTCGAGCCCGCCACCCACGCCTAGTGAGCGAGGCGAGGGCATGGGTCGCGCCTGATAAACGGGCTGGTGGCGGCAGCTGGGCTGGGTGCCACTTGCTGCCGCCTTCGTCCCGGCCGCAGCCTTGCCCTGGCCCTGGCTCCCCGCTCTGCCTTCCACGCAGGAGGCCGCGCAGCTCGTGCCGCGCCACTCGGCACTGCACAAATTGCGACGCGCCGCACCTCCTCCCGTTCTCCTCCCCCATGCGGCCCCGCAGCGCGTGTTGGGAGGGCATGCCACGCACGGCAAAGGTCGCCTTTGGAGCGCTGTTCCTGGCGTCCCCGAGCCTGCAGGTGCGCGGCTCCAACGCGGGCAGCTGGTTTCTTCACCCTGCTGGTGTTCTCGCAAGGGATTGGAGGCTGAGCAGCTCTGTCGCGCTCAGGGGCCGCTTGGTGCAAGGCGCCCTGCAGCCCTGGTCCGGCGCCGGCAGGGCGCCCGGCGGGCGGCGCGAGCTTCCCGCCCCTTGTGTCTCACTGGCAGCGGCTCCCCACGCTCCCCGCCGCCGGCCCCCGTTCCCACCGGCAGTCTGTCGCCGTGGTGCAGCGCGCGTTCAGGCGGCCGCCGCAGGCCGCCATGCAGGAGCTGGGGTTCGGTGAGCTGGATCTGCTGAAGACCTTCCCAGTGCACCTGGCAGGCAGCCAGAGGCAGCTGAACGCATACATCTTCGTGAAGCCACGGCAGGCGGCGGCGGGCGGGCTGGAGCAGCAGCAGCAGCAGCAGCAGCAGCAGCAGCAGGAGCAGCAGCGGCACCAGCAGCACCAGCACCAGCAGCAGCAGCAAGGAAAGCGGCCGCGCGGGACGGGGAATGCTCCCACGGCCTTGGGTGCTGCTGCGGTCGCGCAGCCGGCGCCGCGGGCCAGGGGCCGCGCCAGCAGAGCGGCGTCGGCCGCCGCCCCTCCGGCAGGGGGTGCACCGAGCGACAGCAGCTCCATCACGCCGCTGCCGCTGCAGCAGTGGATGCTTTCCAACGGGCTGCAGGAGGAGGAGGTCATGGCGGACGCCACGAGCGGGCGCGTGCGGCGCAAGCGGCGGCTGTCGTGAGGGCCGAATGGCCGGCTGCTGGCACGTGTCGAGATTGAAAGCGCTGCCCCCAGGCCAGCGTTTGTGTCATTGTGTGCGTGGTGCATGGAGCTTATGCCATGCCTCGTTGGATTCTGTTTACTCTCTTGTATGCTTCCGACACTCAAAACAACAACATTCATGCATCAGGCAGTGACGTAAGGGGAAGTTTGGTATGCAAGTTGTAAGGTGGGCGGGGCGCGCGGCAAGCCAAGTCTAACCTGGGTTGTCGGCTGTCACGCAGTGAGAACAAGCTTCGCTGCTGCCGCGGCGGCCCTCGTCGCCCCTTGAACTGTGCGGCCTGTGCCACTCTGAACCTGTCGTCCTATTGCGCCCCAAATTCAACAATTGTGGGGCAATAATGGGTGCTGCGAGCGGGGCGGGGCGGCCGCCAGCAGAGGGCCAAAAAGGCAAATGCTGCGTCCTTTCCTTTCAGCCCGAGGGGGGCCCAAGGGCAGCGGCTCCTGCAGTAATCTCAAACTCGCCGTTTGCAGGCGCTCGAGGCGCACGGGACGGCAGCGCGCCCGCGCCCGATGGGCCTCCCAACTCTGCACGGGGGCGCAAACAAAGCCTGGCACGGGACACGCCTGCGAATCTGTGTGGAAGTGTGGAAGTGCCTGCGTGCGGTGCGGGCGCCTTGATGCGCAGGAAATGTACGGGGTGTGCTGGTCTGGCCAGGGCAGCACCCTGGGGTAATCGATTGACCACATCCTGGGATTCCGCGGCCGACGCTGGCCCGCAATACTGGAATCAAGTCGTTGCAGGCGTGCACGCGCACACAAGTGAGCGGCCCATGGGCCAATAAATAAATGAGGATCTGCGCTTTGAAGCGATCCCATGTGCCGGGATGCAGCTGCAGCAAACTGCGCACGACTGCAGCCACCATCAAAAGACGAGCCGACAGCCCCCGGCGCCGAGCGGCACAGCGCCAGCCGCACAGACGCAGCGAGCGCGCGCGGACGGCTAGGTGCGTCCGGCGCGCCACGGGGCGCGCCCGCAAGGGCAGCGCGTCGCTGCCGCCTGGGTGCCGGCTGCGGCGCGTAGAAACAGGATCATCTGCTGTAAACAGGATGATCATGTTCACGGCACGGCCGAGGGAGCAGGCGCGAAGCTCATGCAAATCGGTGCCGCCACCCCAAAAGACGCCAGCAGCGCGCGCCCGACCCCCCAGACGCCGTCACCGGCGATGAGGGCGCCGCCCACGAGGGCGGCGTACGCGTCCGCGCTGCGGGGGTGTCGCCAGCGCCACGCGATGCGCAGCGCGGCGCCGAAGGCGACGCCGACTGCAGGGGAGGAGAGAGGCGCGACAGGGGGGCGGGCGGCGGGCGGCGGTTGAGGGGGCGGGGCGGCGGCTGTGTGGACCTCTCCTGACG